AATCTCTTCCAACAGTCACAATGGCCAATGGGTCTCAAGCCATGGCAACAGCAATAGGTCAAGCAAGTCCACTTCCTTCCTTACCTTTAGACTCCGTTCTTTATGTTCCTGGTAGTCCTTTTAATCTCATAGCCGTTAGTCACTTAGCCAAATCCCTTAAATCTGCTATTTTATTTCTTGATGACCTTGTTTTTATACAGGAACGCAGTACAGGGCAGATCATAGGTACCGGACGTGAATCAAATGGACTTTATTACCTTATCCTTGCAAAATCACATGGACTCGCATCTTGTCTTCCTCCAATAACTTCTTCCGTTACTGATTCACCAGATTTATTACATAAACGGTTAGGACATCCCAGTTTGTCAAAACTTCAGAAAATGATACCTGGCTTATCTCACTTGTCCACTCTAGAGTGTGAGTCATGTCAGCTCGGTAAGTATACCCGCTCCCATTTCTCGCGGCGTCTCTATAATCGAGCAGAGTCACCTTTTACTTTAGTCCATTCAGATGTTTGGGGTCCTAGTCGGGTCAGTTCTACCTTGGGATTCCGCTACTTTGTCAGTTTCATTGATGATTATTCCAGGTGCACTTGGATATTTTTGATGAAAAATCGATCCGAGTTATTTTCTATTTTTCAGACCTTCCATGCTGAAATTCAGAAACAATTTGGGGTTTCTATCCACACATTTCGTAGTGATAATGCCTAGAGTATTTGTCTTCCTCATTTTAGCAATTTATGAACTCCAATGGGATTATTCATCAAACATCTTGTTCGTACACATCCCAACAAAATGGGGTAGCTGAAAGAAAGAATAGACATCTTATTGAAACTGCTCGTACTTTACTCATACAATTTCATGTTCCGCTGCGTTTTTAAGGGGATGCAGTTCTTACATCTTGTTATCTTATTAATCGTATGCCATCTTCAGCTATCCAAAATCAAGTTCCATTCTCTGTCCTGTTTCCCCACAGACCTTTGTTCTCTCTTCCACACTGTGTCTTTGGGATTCCCCACAGACCTTTGTTCTCTCTTCCACACTGTGTCTTTGGGAGTACGTGTTTTGTTCATGACATTACTCCAGGAAAAGATAAGTTAGCTCCTCGTGCTCTTTAAGTGCATATTTCTGGGTTACTCAAGAACGCAAAAAGGATATCGATGTTATTCTCCTGACCTTCAGCAATTTCTTATGTCTGCTGATGTTACCTTCTTTGAAACTCAATCATACTTCACAGGTCCAGATAATCACTTAGATATTTTTGAGGTGCTACCCGTTCCTTCTTTTGGAGATTCAGTCCCCATCTCCCATTCATCTTCCTCCATAGCTCCACCGCCTACAGTTCCAGTTGCAGCTCCACCACCTATAGCTCCAGTGTCACCATCGAGTCTAGTGCCACCACCTAGTCCAGTTCCACCAACTATAGCTCCAGTGCCACCACCTAGTCCAGTTCCACCAACTATAGCTTCAGTGCCACCACCTAGTCCAGTTCAACCTTCTACAGCTCCACCCTGACTTATCATCGTCGTCCGCCCCTAGCATTAGGCCCAGCTGATTCACGTCCTGCACCTGACCCTGCTAATACTGCGGACTTGTCTCCTCTTAATCAACCGATTGCACTACGAAAAGGTATACGGTCCACACTTAATCCTAATCCCATAATGTCGGTTTAAGTTACTATCGTCTCTCATCATCCCATTATGCATTTGTGTCATCTTTGTCCTCTGTTTCCATCCATAAGTCTACAGGTGAAGCACTGTCTCATCCCGGATGGCGACAAGTTATGATTGACGAGATGTCTGCTTTACATACGAGTGGTACTTGGGAGCTTGTTCCTCTTCCTTCAGGTAAATCGACTGTTGGTTGTCGTTAGGTGTATGCAGTCAAAGTTGGTCCAGATGGTCAGGTTGATCGACTTAAGGCTCGTCTTGTTGCCAAAGGATATACTCAGATATTTGGACTCGATTACAGTGATACTTTCTCTCCCGTGGCTAAAATTGCATCAGTCCGCCTTTTTCTATCCATGGCTGCTATTAGTCATTGGCCTCTCTATCAGTTGGACATTAAGAATATTTTTCTTCACGGTGACCTTGAGGATGAGGTTTATATGGAGCAACCACCTGGGTTTGTTGCTCAGGGGGAGTCTAGTGGCCTTGTATGTCGGTTGCGCCAGTCCCTCTATGGTCTAAAGCAGTCTCCTCGAACCTGGTTTGGTAAGTTCAGCACAGTTATTCAGGAGTTTGACATGACTCGTAGTGAAGCTGATCACTCTGTATTTTATCGACATTCTGCTTCAAATCTCAGTATTTATCTGGTCGTTTATGTTGACGATATTGTTATTACCAGCAATGATCAGGATGGTATTAGTAAGTTGAAGCAACATCTTTTTCAGCACTTTCAGACTAAGGATCTGGGCAGATTAAAGTATTTTCTGGGTATTGAGGTCGCTCAGTCTAACTCGGGTATTGTGATCTCACAACGGAAGTATGCCTTAGATATTCTTGAGGAGACAAGAATGACAGGTTGTAGACCTATTGACACTCTGATGGATTCGAATTCTAAACTTCTGCCAGGACGGGGGGAGCCTCTTAGCGATCCTGCAAGATATAGGCGGTTGGTTGGTAAATTAAATTACCTCACAGTGACTAGACCTGACATTTCTTTTCCTGTGAGTGTTGTGAGTCAGTTTATGGATTCTCCCTGTGATAGTTATTGGGATGCAGTTGTCCTAATTCTTCGGTATATAAAATCAGCTCCAGGCAAAGGCTTATTGTTTGAGGATCGAGGTCATGAGCAGATCGTTGGATACTCAGATGTTGATTGGGCAGGATCACCTTCTGATAGACGGTCTACGTCTGGATATTGTGTCTTAGTAGGAGGAAATTTGGTGTCTTGGACGAGCAAGAAACAGAATGTGGTTGCTCGGTCTAGTGCAGAAGCAGAATATCGAGCAATGGCTATGGCGACATGTGAGCTAATTTGGATCAAACAGTTGCTCAAGGAGTTGAAATTTGGTGAGATTAGTCAGATAGGACTTGTGCGTGATAATCAAGTTGCTCTTCATATTGCGTCAAATCCAGTGTTCCATGAGAGAACTAAACACATCGAGATTGAATGTCACTTTGTTAGAGAAAAGATACTCTCGGGAGATATTGCTACAAAATTTGTGAAGTCGAATGATCAGCTTGCTGATATTTTCACCAAGTCCCTCACTGGTCCTCGTATTAGTTATATATGTAACAAGCTCGGTACATATGATTTATATGCATCAGCTTGAGGGGGAGTGTTAGTTTGATAGTTAAATAGTAGTAAATAACCCTAATCCCATATGTATTAGGAGTAGGACATGTATTATATATAAATAGGGCTCATTGTATCATTGTCATAATTAATCAATAATATATTTTCTCCCGTGCATTCTCACAATTAGGAATGACGACATTCGGGCAAAGGTGGGGTTGCGCTCATTGAAGACAAAATGCAGGAAATGAGGTTTAGATAGTTCGAGCACGTGTAGAGAAGCCTTGATGCCCCGGTTAGGAGGGGCGAGCGGTTGACCTTGACCAGTATGAGAAGAGGTAGAGGACGGCCTAAGAAATATTGGGAAGAGGTAATCAGTCAAGACATGGCGCGACTCCAGTCCACCGAGGACATCACCCTTAATAGGAAGGTTTGGAGGGCAAGTATTAGGGTCGTAGGTTAATAGGTAGTTGAGCGTTTTTCTACTCTGTTGTGGGTGTTAAGCTAGTTTGTTAGTGTCTTGCTTTAGTTTAATAGTGGTACTTGTTGTGTTCGTACTATTTTTCTGCTCCGGTTTCCTAGTACCTTTACATGGTTCTGATTATTGATATTACCTTTTCTATTTATTTTTCTGATTTTTCGGTCACTAGTACTATCTTCCCGACGCATGCTGTTGTTACTGTTCCTTTGCCTCTTTTTCATCTCTTTGTGCCGAGGGTCTTTCGGAAACAGCTTTACCCCATAGGGTAGGGGTAAGGTCTGCGTACATACTACCCTCCCCAAACCTCATATGTGGGATTATACTGGGTTGTTGTTGTTGTACTCCGTTTTGGGGTCGTGCTAGTCTAACATATATGGATGAACTAACAGATTAGTCCATAGTCCATGTAAAGTTTGGAATAACTCGAGGGACCCTAAAACAGAATGATCAATACGCCGGATCAATAGAAAGTTTTGATCATATTTCAATACCAGGTATTGCTATTAAACTATGAAAGAGTTCTTGGAATAAAACAAAAGGAAGTTGGGTTGAAGAAATAAGTCTAGGATCAATTTTATTTCATAATTTAAGCAAAAACATGCCCAACTACTTAAATTAGAGATGACACTTGGTATGATTCTTCATATA